TGTTGCGGTCCGACGTCTTTTTCCATTAGATGTATCCACGAACATTCTCTCTTTTAATTTAATGAAAATTGCGTTGATTTAGTCGTTCAAGCTTAACTTGTGACATGAGGAACATTTGCGGACAGTATACTACGTGACTGACTTGCGTCAAGGCATATTTAAAAATCATTATTGTTGATTATTGTTTCGCCGGTAAATGTACGCTCGCGAACATGACTAACTTTCTTTAGTATAAACATACTAATGGTCTATCACTCATACTGCGCTTTGATTGGCCACTCTACTAATGGTCTAATTTGTGATAGACCACTCGCGGGAAAATCAAAATAAATAAATTATGAATTATTTTAAGGGTATTTCAATTTGTTTTCATTATTTGACTGATTAGTATGTTTATACTAAAACAATTAGACCCTGTCTCGTCCTCGTGGACTACGAGCTAATAGCCCATTCGGCCTCGCGGACTCGGCCTCATGGGCTATTAGCTCGTAGTCCACTCGACCTCGAGGTCTAATTGTTAAATATCATTAAGTAATAAAGGATGGATTGCCGTGCGTTTCTTGGTTAAATGAACCACTTGGTAATGTTAGGGAAAAAAATCAATGGCGACAAAATTACTCGCTACGCTCGTAACTATTTAGTCCTTTTTCTGTTTCCCAAACTCCACGCATGCTTTCTTTCGACCGCAGTCAATGTAAAATAAAAGGTAATTGGCTGATGCCAAGGATGTTTAGTATGACAAACTAAAGCAAAAAATACCACAGTTGAATAAAATAACAACAACAGTAACGACGGAAAACCCTTGTATAAATAGTACATAGTAAAAATTTCCAGGGCTAGTGCACATTTCTAAACTATGGAAAGATTTTGTTATCTCATACCATGGAATCGAAATACTCTCCAGAAAGTCACTGAGTTTGTGACGAGGCCGAGCACATGACACACAAACGTCGGGTCCAGGTTGGCGTCCATTTTGAGGCTTTTGGATGGCTTTTTATGTTGAATGTCGACATTTTCTTATTTACAATGACTGATCTTTTCATAAAATTATGTAGCTGACACTCCCAACAAAAGAAAAAGAGAGAATGGTTCTTTTCTACAAACAACGCTGTGCAATCACCGCGCTATGCACTATGGGATATATAGACGAAGGTACTACATATTGCTGTCAAGACTGTTTTTGAGGGTGTGGAAAGCATATATCTTCTAGTGCACGCAGCTGCTGTTATGTTTCCTCTCAAATGCATCGATAATGATTAATGGTTGATAATGGTTAATTTGCAAAGCTTCCGTCCTCCATTATATATAAATAACATCCCAAAACATCGCCATCTT